GTTAAACTATTACTACTTTAGGTTTATTAAAAATGTTTAACCTGCCTCAAAAAATAAACCAATTGGTTTTTACTCTCTTTTGTTGGCTGACACAGACTACCACCTACACGCAATCCTCTTCTATACCTGCATTGGAGAAACAGCGGCCGCTGGGGCCGTCCTCACTGGTATTCCGCTCAAGGGGCTTCTGGGGGGCTTATGGACAGAAACATTCTGTCCAGCTCCACCTGCAAGAGATGGGAACATTTATATGTCAGTGAGTTCAAAATCAAAAATAATAGTTCCTGATTTGTTACTTTTTTGGCGATTAAAAATGTATGCCATGCTGTTTATAGAGTATTATGTCTACTCTTCTCCTTTTTCCCGTGGACGACTGTTGAATTGGAGAGTGAGAGGGGAGCAATGAACTAAGTGGTGTTGGTCTTAGATACAGGACACATGAAGACCCAATGCAATAAGGAACAGGAAAATTCTTGCATAAACCACCTTTAATTCATTTCCCATCTTCATAGACAGTGAGTCACTGGGATTTCCTATCTTTCAACGTCTGTAGTCTAATCTTAATCTAATTTGGCTGCAAACTATTTTAACAGAAATAACTAGGAACATCCTAAGATCAGCTATTACTCTAGTCTCCCAATATCATAAGCATATTTCTTGAGTCAAGTGAAGAAATACATTGTTATTTTAATATTTATGTGTATAGAGAGTATAGATATACATTTTTTCTTATATGTGGATAACAGTGGATAAAGGTGACATTTCCAGAAAGAGGTGGGCTACACAAAATCAGGAATGACAGATCGCATAGGGGTCGCATGTAAGACAAGACCAGGTGCAGAAAAGTCCAAATGTGTGTTGCAGGACGAGGCAGGCCAGGGCACCAACCACCGCGTCGACCCCCAGGAGGCAATGCCTCACTTCCTAGGAGGTGAAGGCGCTGGCTGACCGCAAACCACAGAAGGCAAATAAGACAGCAGTGACCTGATTTTTATGGACAGAGCAGAAAAGGAAGGTGAGGAGGCAGGAGCAGGCAAGGAGGTGGGGAGGGAGACTGCCCATGGCCAGCTCACGGCAGCTGCAGCATGTCTTTCCTGTACAGAGGCTTCCTGTGGAACAATCTAGAACAGTGGTTCTCAACCTTCTGGCCCTTTAAATACAGTTCCTCATGTTGTGACCCAACCATAAAATTATTTTCGTTGCTACTTCATAACTGTAATGTTGCTACTGTTATGAATCGTAATGTAAATATCAGATCTGCAGGATGGTCTTAGGCGACCCCTGTGAAAGGGTCGTTCGACTGCCCAAGAGTTGAGAACCGCTGATCTAGAAGAACCCTTGTGGTTGCGCCAACTTGGGGTCAGTGAGGAGTAGAGACAGGCTTGGTATTTGGGGCCTAGGTCTGAATTGAGTTTTGCTTATAAAACAAAACGATGAAATACCTGGGTGTCCCAAGTCAAAGGACTTGATAAGGGACTTCACGGTGGTCGCGGGCTCCAAAGGCGCTGCGGAGGCTCTGCTGGCAAAGATGCCGGGCCAGCGGCCGGGGGCATCAGCCTCGGGCTCCGACTCCGCACGCACAGGTCTGCACGGCAAAGAGCAAGTCAGTCGCAAAGGTGGAGGGTGTGCGTGGGGAAAGACGCGGAAGGGAACAGAGCGGATGTGGAGGAGATACACGGATCTGGAAGGAGAGCCCACATTTGAAATCTTGTTCTGCACCACTTGTGTCTTTGGAAATAAGGTAGGTGCTGCTCTCAATTTTCATCAGCGATGCTTTCTTGGGAATGGCCAGAAATAGTATTTTAACATGTAGAAATTTAAAAAATGTGGAAAAACATGTGAGTCTATTCTGTAAACTGTAAAGAAAAATACACAAATATTATTCATCATAAATACTTAGATTACTGTCCATGGTGACGAGAGTAAATTGGCTGGCCCGTGTGTCCCAGACCCCACCTGGACCACAAAGGTTGGGAAGGTGACACCTCAGGACTCCCTGCAACTAGGATTTCAGGTGTGATTTAGGGTCCACTAGTCGGCAAGATGTGGCCTGGCTTGGAGTGGACGGTGCTGGGGAAGAGGGACGGGGTCCTCGGGCTGAGGCAGGCTGCAGCAGAGGCAAGCCGCCTGCCAGGCAGGCTCCCCACGCTCAGGGGTCCCCACACTCAGGGGTCCCCTTCACAGTGAGGTAGCAGAGCCCTGGTCGCTCCGTCCTGCGCTGTGACTTTGGGGAGTTGTCCCTGGAAGCTCCGCTAGAATCTGTCTTCAACCTCCCAAAAATCCTGCAGCCATTTAATACCTTCCTGCTTGACCAGCCAGACAATGACCTATTACAGCAGAATCCTGACTCCTACACCATTTGCCCTCAGGGAGGCAGAGAGAACGGTATTCTAGAACAAGTAACACTGCGATTCTGCACAAGGCGAAGCTTCTATTCCCATCCAAGCTTTCCTGGCAAGTTTAGAATGTTGTTTCTGAATTCAAGCACAGATTCATCGAAGTCTTTTAGAGATAGCTCATTGGATTCAACCCACTCACGCACGGCTTCCTCACCCAGCGGATGTTAGCATGTCATTTAATCTCCCTGGGAATGACCTCCCAATCTCCTACTTCCTAAACCACTGCTCTTGTTATTATATCAAATTGTTTGCAAGATGATGACTAATTTATGAGAATGGCTCAAAAAGAATATTTCTAGGAGTATATTTTAATAAGGTCAGTGGAAGTTTAAAATATCTACTTGCTGATATTTTTTTAAATGAATCTAGCTACTCATAAGCTTCTGCAATTGAATTTACTTGTCCTTAATTCTCAAAGCTTTCCCCTGCAGATCTGCAATCAATGTGAACAGAATGAACTTAAGTGAAACAGAACTTAAAACACTTACATCACACTGCTCTACACTTTCCTCTCCGTGGCCCCTTCTTTTGGGTGGAAAAAAAAATCAGTAAACTTACGACATCTTTGGAAGAAAAGAGTAGGCATTTCAGAAACTGGTAGAGGGTTGGGTTTAATTATTTTTTTTATGGAATGGGCTTGGTTTCTTATTTTATTTTCCCCGTTGTGTTACACAGTATAAAATTAGGTGGTGTATGTGCAGAAAGGGAGTAGCATCAGGTTAGGTAGGAGCAGAAAAAATCTCTCTTATCTCTGACCCAGACATTCTCAGGCAGGTGAGAAACAAAACGGGCCACCCTCTTACCCATCCATTTAAATAACCTGCCAACTCATTATGGTTTTAATTTGCATCTCTCTGATGATTAGTGACATTGAGAGTCTTTTCGTGTCTCTTGGCCATCAGTATGTCCTCTTTGGAGAAGTGTCTATTTAGGTCCTTTGTCCATTTTTAAATGGTATCACCTCACACCTGTCAGAATCAACAAACAAGTGCTGACAAGGATGTGGAGAAAAGGGAACCTTCATGCACTGCTGGTGGGAATGCAGTTTGGTGCATCCACTATGGAAAACTGTATGGAGTTTCCTAAAAAAGTTAAAATGGAACTGTCTTATGACATAGCAATTCCACTTCTGGATAAATATCTGAAGAAAATAAAAAACAATTCAAAAGAATATGACCCCTATGTTCATTGCAGCATTATTTTTTTAAAATATGTTTTTATTGATTTCAGAGAGGAAGGGAGGATAGAAACATCAATAATGAGAGAGAATCATTGACTAGCTGCCTTCTGTACGCCCTCTACTGGGGAATAGAGCCTGCAGCCTGGGCCTGTGCCCTTGACTGGACTTGAACCTGGGTCCCTTCAGTCTGAAGGCCAACGCTCTATCCACTAAGCCAAACCAGTTAGAGCTGAAGCATTATTTACAATAGCCAAGCTATGGAGGCAACTCAAGTGCCCATCAATACATGAGCTGTGGTACATGTTTACCAAAGAATATTACTCGGCATAGAAGAGAATGAAATCTTACCAGTGGCGACAGCATGGATGGGCCTACAGGGTATTGTGCTAAGTGAAATAAGCCCGTCAGAGAAAGACAAATACCATATAACTTCACTTATATGTGGAATCTAATGAACAAAATAAAGGAACAAACAATATAGAAACAAACATAAATAGATACAGAAAACAGACTAATGGTTGCCAGAGGGGAGGAGGGTTGGGGGACTGGGTTAACAAGGTGAAGGGATTGAGAAGTACAGATTAGTGGGTATACAATATGGGATTGTAAATTACAGCATAGGAAATATAGTCAACAACATTGTAATAATTATATATGGTGCCAATTGGGTACTGGAAATATCAGGGGACCACTTTATAAAGTATATGATTGTCTAACCACTGTACTGTACACCTGAAACCAATACAAAATAAAATTGAATGTAAACTGCAATTGAAAAATTTTTTTTAATTAAAAATACTTGCTACCAAAAGGCCTTGTAGAAACTTAAGGCACTCCTCCTAAAAGGAAGATCATTTAAAAAATTCATTTTCACTTAGTTCCTTGATAATAAGGACAAAACAAAAACCCTGTATCTACTGAAGTATTCCCTTCAATTATCCAAGTTTCTCTGCGATTCAAAACATCAAATGATAAGTCAGAAAACTTGTTCAGACTCTATTAGAAAAGTGCAAGGCTTCAAGAACAGTTCCCAGTCCCTGTGCCTTCAGATAGCCAACGACCCAATCAGTCCACAGGCTAGATACAGGGGTGGGCAAACTTTTTGACTCGAGGGCCAGAGTGGGTTCTTAAACTGGACTGGAGGGCCGGAACAAAAGCATGGATGGAGTGTTTGTGTGAACTAATATAAATTCAAAGTAAACATCATTACATAAAAGGGTACGGTCTTTTTTTTCAATAGTTTTATTCATTTCAAACGGGCCGAATCTGGCCCGCGGGCCGTAGTTTGCCCATGGCTGGGCTAGAACAATAAGCATCAGTATGAGAAAACTCTGTGGGTTAAGTGGATTAGAGAAGCTACTGGTCTAAATACTAACTGTGTTACATAACAGTGACGTCTGTGTGTGTGCGTGCAGACTTACAAAGCCTGAATTGAAGAATAGTTATTAGTATTTTAATCATAAACAGGCTTGAAATTCATTACAACAGTCTGCCTTAGAATTATTTGGGATCAGCCGGGAACAACACCATTAATAGATGAAGTAGATTTGACCCCTGATCATGGGTTTGAATTGCACAAGTCCAGTTAGACACAGATTGTCTACATCCATGCTTTTGTTCCGGCCCTCTGGTCCAGTTTAAGAACCCATTGTGGCCCTCGAGTCAAAAAGTTTGCTCACCCCTGGTCTACACTAATAAAAGAGAAAGATGCAAATTAACCATCACTCCATCACTCTGCTACACCCACCAGCCAATCAGGAGCAAGTATGCAAATTACCCCAACTAAGATGGCAGAGGCCACGAAGCTGGAGCGAGCAGGAGGCTTGGGTTCCCCTCGGCAATGGAGGAAGCCAAGCTACCCGCCTGCCCACTGGCCTCTGCTCAAGGAGGTGCTGGAAAAAAAAAAAAAAAGAAAAGGAAAAAAGGAGAGGCCGGGAGCTTGGGTTGCCAGGGTGTGTGGACAGCCCCCACCCAGGCGGGCCCGGAAC